AGCCCCCCCACTCCGCTGGTAATTTTGGCCCCAACCTGGACCACATTGGCCGTAGTGTAAAGAGGAGCGTGGGCGGAGGAGGAGGAGGAGGAGGAGGAGGAGGAGGAAGAGGAGGAAGGAGGAAGGAGGAGGAGGAGGAGGGGAGGAAGAGGAGGAAGAGGAGGAAGGGGGAGCAGAAGGGGCAGCAACAGCAGAGGAGGAGGAGGCAGGTGTCTGTGGGGCTTGAGCCTGGAAAATGCGGGAGGCCTGACCCTCCAGCTGGGAGTGGTAGCTCCCTGCAGGGGGTCCCTGGGGGTGCACCTCGCCCGGGAGCCCAAAGCTGGGTTCGGGTGGACGGGCCAGGCTGTCAGGAGGGGGAGCTACCGGTGGGCTCTGGGGGAAGAGTGGAGGGTGGTGGTAGGAGTGAGACGGCCCCTGGGACAGCACAGAGGAGGAGTCGGAGTCATTCTCCACGCTGCCAGGGCTGTAGACACTGGGTGAGGTGCTCCTGTTATCCTGGTCAATGTCCCGTGGGTCACTGCTCATCTCATCATTGAAGCTGTGGCCATCAAGGCTGTCAACGTCGGATGGGGATGGAGGGCAGGGCAACTCCTGAAGTAGGAAGAAGGAGAGAGATGTTATGTGGCCTCCCAGACCATGCACAGTACTTCTCAAATTCCCAGAGAACTTGCTTTCTGACCTTTCTCTGCCAGCACTAGAAAAACCCCACAGAGGGAAGGAGACATCATCTGGCAAGGTATAAGTAACACCAGTCCTCCTGCCTCCCCTTGGAGCAACTTCAGTGCTCTCAGGTCCTTCATGAGCATCACACGCTCAGGGAGGAGGTAACGATGGGCACCTTGTGTACAGAGGCAGCGAGGGAGGGCAGGGAACTGTTACAGATGAGGTTGAGAATGGATACGAAAGGTCCTAGCACCACTATCACCGGCGATGGCGATGGGCTGTTGGCCAGGGTATGATTCAGTGCTACCACCAGGTGGCATAGAGCAGTACACACCACAGTGCGCCCAGCACAGCCCCCAGACCCAGAATCGCTCTTCTTGTCCCTGCAGGGCTCTCCCTCGGTGAGGAGACCCACTCCCCTCCAGCCCCCTGCCCCAAGTGTTTCCTCCTCTGGCTGCCCCACTCCTTACCTCCCCCATGTCCTGCACTTCCCAATCCCTGCTCCTCCCTACCACCTCTTGCCTCAGGCAATGAAGCAATGAAGCATTGGTGATTCAACAGTTAGCATAGACAATTAACAAGTGCCTCTCTTGAGCCTCGGGGCTTACAAGAGAGGCTAAACTGTAAAAAGATCACTGTTGAGCTGAACTGAACGGAGTGTCCACGTGGAGAAATTAAACAGGTGTAACCACAGCGGTTTAATTACAATGACCTCATAATGCAAGCAAATATCCCCATGTTTGCAGGCCTTTAAGGCCAGTTCCCTGAACAGGCTAACGGGGAACTGAGAAGCGCAAGAGCTGAGTCTTCCTCCAACCAATCCAGCCCGGTGCTGTGGGCATTTCGGAAAAGCCCTGCCACAACTATGCAGAGCGTGTGCGTGAGCAGGTTTTGCACAACCATCACCCAGACCCCACCATGACTTAAGGATCTCCGTTTCAGACTGCTCTGGGGGAGCAAAAGAGGCTGAGTCTAATGTGACTGGCAGCTGCACACGGAGCCAGGCTCTTGCCACTGAGCCGGGAAAGGCAGGGCACATGCCCAGCTCCGAGAGTGCGGCAGTCCCCTGCAGACAAGGCAAAAGAGACGGAGAGCCTGCTGTCTGCTCAGTCATCACTCCTGGTGGCGTTTTTGTAGCCAGGCAGATGCTATTTAGGTTGGAAGAGCTGCAGTGCGAAACCAAGGTGCCAGTTTAGGTTGGAAGAGCTGCAGTGCGAAACCCAAGGTGCCAGGGCTCCCGAGCAGTGGGAACCTCAAGCCAGGCAGGTGGGAGCAGCACAGGTAGGGAACAGGGGACTCCTTTGCCCTGAACCCAGGACATGCCAGCAATCACAGCAGGGACAACTCACCTCGGTTTTGGTTTTTTTGGGAGCGTTGGTGTCCTCCCCTTCACTCTCCGAGATCTCTTCTGTTCGGCCCTGCTTGCTGCCCTTGGGGGTGCAGGATTCCTCCACCCGGCCTTTCTGCAAGAGAGAGGAGAACAGGGAGGTGGGAGGGTCATGGGGAAACTTCCCACCCTGCCAGACCTTCACAGACTGGTGAGACACAGCCACTATGGCATGTGTGTTGAAGAGCTTAGCAGTGCAACACTGAGCCAGAATATGGCAAAAATTAGCTCTAAACAGGGCTGGTGAGACTGAAGACCGGTTCTTGGGAGATGATGGGAAGTGCAAGATGCTGAGGATGAAAGAGGGATCCCACCCATTCCAGAGAGCTAACGCAGCATGGGTTCCTTGGTAGATCCCTTCTGGTCTGCATCCCTGGATCCCCAAACAGATCCTACCCAATCTGGGCAGTCCCCAGGCACCCCACGCTCGCATACTAGCTTATACTACCTTTGTCGCTTGTCGGGATTTCTCAGCCTTGCCATCACTGCTGGAGGTGCTGACGCCCCCAGGGGAAGCTCGACCCCGTGACCTGAGCTCCTCTCGGGGCCCTGGAGTCTCTTTCTTCCGTCCACTCCGCATTGACATCTAAGAGAGGGATCACTGGATCAGTCCTGCTTTGCATCTCCCTCCACTCCTGCCCTGTCCCCAGCCTCCTGAAGTCTCTGAACCCCTGGCACTCCACTACGCCAAACTCATGTCCACGAGCTTTGCTGTGAGCCTCAGTCCCAACCCACAGCTCCAGCTTGGCTCCTGTGTCTCACCCCCCCCCTCTCCCATCTCACGTACTGAGTCCTTGTTCTGTCGTGTCTTCATTCTTTTGGGTGTGGGACCCCCATTCTCCTTGGTCCGGCTTGATGAAAACATAAATTTTTATCACTCCACAACCCCCTTCGGCTGTTCCCGGGGAGGCGGAGATGGGCAAGAGCAGTTCTTCTGGAAGGGGGGCTTACACCAGCAATGCAACAAGATCCCGGTGAATCCTGAAAGGCAGACAAGGAGATGAGAAGGGAGAAAGAGTGAGTGGACTGCAGGACATCCTTTTGTGGTCTGCTATAGAAACATGACAAAATTATTACTGTTTCCTTAATTATTATTTACAGACGCAAGGATCTTTACCAAAAATGCAATAAACTTCCCCATCAGAAGGGGAAAAGATTTGGCCACTCTCACATCTCATTTCCAATTTCTAGGAGTGATACCCACACGATGTGAGGCAGGCAGTCCTCCAATTTTTTGGAGGAAGCAGAGAGGAATGGTTATCAGTGTGTTGATTGTCCTCTGAAATCATTTTAGTATTTCCATTTCCTTGTTTATTTGATCTTCAGAGAGAGAGAGGGAAAAAAAATGGGAAAATGCTTTAAAATGTTCCTAATGACAATTTTTCTGACTTCATAAGTTCCTCTTTGCACTTGTTGTCAATGCAGTAAGTTACACTATCCTTAACTGGCCATGTGCTGTCATTAGCTAGCTCTGCGTAATGAGCCCCCAGTGGCCTTTGCTGAAGAGGTATTATATAGCCCTGCCCTCTCCAGAGCATATGCACATGCATACATGCACCAGCACGTTACGCAGAAAATGTGAGAAGTCTTGCTTAGGCTGTTCGGTGTCCAAGGTACACAAATAGGTGCAAGAAAATGCATTTAGCTTTGATTTTGCATGACGCAAACAGAATCAACTCTGTTTAGCTTGAAGCGCCTGCCTAGGTCTCCTTCTTCTCTATACACTGGACTGCTTCTCAGTGTACCACCTAAGAGTCATGCCCAGAGATGCAAGAGTACATCCTTACACTTTGCAGCAGCTGGAAGATTTCTGAGCTCCCTCTGAATAAATTTACAGCTTTGTGCTACGTCCAAAAGCACCATAGATATTTCATACCCTGTTATGCCACACAGTTCCTAGTTTAGAGTATGAAAGCACCATGATTGTGTTAGCCTGGGAACCGGACTGAAGTGATTCAGGGATGCTGCTCCTGAAGCTAGTTTGCTTGGCTCCATCCAGCTCAAGACCTTTTGCACTGCACTGTACTGTGCAGGTGTAACCAAAAAGAGACTGTCCTTCCCCAGCCTGTCATTTGAGCTCCTATATTCAGCCTCTGGAATGGTCAATCTGCAAGAGAAGGAAATGTGTCCGGTGGATGAAGCATCAGGAGAAAAGATCCACATCTCCTGGGTTATATTCTCTGATCTGGAAGCACGGGAAAGTTTTGTGAATAAGTATAAGAAGACTTGAGATTCGGGACTCCTAAAGGCCATCCCAGACCTGGAAAGATCAGCTTCTAGCTGGCCAGCGCAGGAGCAGTCTGGATGCACTTTCAGTCCTCTGAGAAGGGAGCTGAAACCAGGGATCAGAGCAAAGGCACCAGACAGGAGAACTCCTGGACCGCCTGTGCAGCCCTGCTGCTGGACTGTGTGGCCCTGGAGTCGCTGCATTCCTCTGCCTCCATCTCCCTACCTGTGAAAAGGCAGTAATGACACTGGCCTGTCTCTTGTGGGGCTCCACATCTTCCCTGACCAATGCTTAGAGAAACCCATCCGGAAGGTACTTGGGAAGAGCAGGGGATTGTTTGTTTTAATTTCATTAATATTTTATTTGACCCTCATCATGAAAGCCACAGGGGACTCATCCAGCATTAATTCCCACACACAGCAATTCATTAACTGAGACCTCTTCTTTAATAGAAAAATAGGTCACGATGGTTTATAACTGACCTAATGGAGGCAGACCACTCTCCTAATCTCTACCAGCTGACATGTTTTACAGCCTTACATTTCTGTCATACTTTGGCCTTTGGTTGCTAATTCAGCCAGTTACACTGATGCTATTCTAGATAAGCATCTATAATTAACATTTCTTACATGAAACAAACATTGTAAGTAAGGCTATCCTAATTTAACCCAGCTTCAACACATGGCATGTTAGCAACCTTCAAGTATTAGCTCAGCTCTGAACACACACAAGCAGCATCAGCACATTACCAATATGTCACTGCTCTTTACATTCAACAGGGATGCCACCCACACCTCCCACACCAAAGAACCAAACATCATAATGCAGCGCACAGGTCTCACTTCAGCTTTCCAGTAACCCTGTAATGACAGTTATGGTGGTCTTTCCAGAGAAGTAAGTCAGAAAAATAATACACAGCCAACCACATACTGAAACTTCCCTTTTTAAAAGAAATACCAACTCAGTACTTATGTCAGCCGCTGAATATGCAGTACCAAACAAAGCCAGAAACAAATAGGTACGTTTCAGTAGACAATTAACCACTGGGGCAGAAGTTTCTATCACTTAGAGAGAGACGACTTTTCTAAAATATGTAACAGAACTGACGCACACATTATTAGGCTCAGTACAGCAACCGTTATGTCAGAGGCCAGATGAGAGGATCACAACACTGCCTTCTAATTTTAACATCTATGAAATAAAAGTTTGCAATGTGAGCCTTGACAATTAACAAAGTTACACCTAACCCTTCCCGTCACCGAAGATCCCTGTAAATGTCTCTGAAGAGTTCTTAGGGCTCTGTGGTTTTGGAAAGGAAATGAGACATTTGGCAGGGCTGCTGTCGAAGGTATAACCTTTTCCTGGCCCTGTGAAGCCCTTTACAGGTTTGATTGAGTTATGAGGCATTGCGAATTGCTATTTTCTGTTTGCGTTTCATTCAACCCAGCTTGGTTTGGCTTACTGCCCAAACCCCTCCATATTCTCGTGTAAGCCCTGGTGCAGTCTCCTGCAAGCAACACGCGCTCAACAGGCATCCCCACATGGGATCCAAAATGGATCCTGCTCCTCCTCCTCCCCAGCTTCAAGTAATTCTCCTTGCCAAAGGTGGACTGTCCTGCACAGGCAGCCAGAAGATCACGGGCTCCAGTTCCTCTTCTGTTGAAGGACGCAGATAAGCTCTCTCCTTCCCAGGCTGTAGTGTGGAGCAACTCTTCACGGGTAACAAAACAGGAATCAAGTCCACCTCAAATGAGATGCACTCAAGTTTTACCTACTTAAGTATACACCCTTAGTCTCTCTTAGAAAGCTGGGTGAATGTTTGTCCTTGGCTCAGGATAGCATTTACACGTTAGATTGAGGGTCTCAGAAAATAAACTTTCCTAGATGGCAACAGAAGCAGAGGAAACGGGAACAGGACCAAGTTGTCTGGGATGGTGTTTGGGGGCTTGGCCAGGACTGTAAATGACAAATGAGTTATGTGCCCCAAAGGCTTGCACATGCCGGGGCTGCACACACAGGTACACCCAGCACATGTCCCAACAGCAGGGAGGCAATTTCCAGTGAGACAGGGAAGCCTGGGAGGTGCCTCCAAATCCACAGAGGGCTGAAGGGTTTTGTCACTTCGGCTGGTGCTCAATGGCAGAGCAAGCTCCAGGATGGGCAGCCCGAGTCCGGGGGTCCTGTCTGCTTGAGAAAGTTAAAAGCCAGCTAAGGTCCAGCTAGCCATCCCTGGGGCCAGTGACAGAAGGGAGAGCTGAAGGCTCCCAGCATCCATGCCACTGAAGAAAAAGAGCTAACACCACCATTACTTCAGCAGCATTTCTTTAGCTAGTAGACATTTAAGGCCTGATCCAGTCCTCACTGAGATTAGCTGCTGGTACTCAGCTGTCAACAGTTACCACGGTCTCTTCCCTTTCTTTTCTATTACTCCTCTCTTGGGGGGGAAAAAAAAAAAAACACCTACCTGGTTTTATTATCGACTACTCCCGATCTTCTCCGACTGTAACATCCCAGTAATCTCAGGTGGATTCAGACCTGCTCCAAGCAGGACGGGAGGTGCAGCAGGCAGAACATGGCTATGGTACATGACACAGGAGTCCCCCCTGAGCTAGCCAGTGATGATTTGGGGGTGGAGGGGAATAGCACTGATGTAGCCTCCTCTCTCCACCAAGGCTCTGCCTAGGCATTGCCTGGTAGACCATACACCTAGTTGGAGGCACTGAGTGCAAAGATGTCAAGGTGCATGGCTGGATCATTCAGTCTCCAAGAAGAAATGAATTAAAAACTCTGCCACCCATCAGGACCACAAATGCTGCAAGAAGGGGCAATTTGACAGCATCTGTACTTTTAAATAAAATGGGACAGTGCCTGTTCTCTGGTCCTGGGGGTGATTTGCATTACACAGCTTGCACCCGGATGACAAAATTCTCCTACCTTCCAAAAGGGGATGGACACATCTAACCTGGCCACTGGCAATCAGCATGGTCCTACGCTAACTCCTCAACCACGCTCAGGCATCATCTGGGAGAGCACTCGTTGGCACAGACCAAAGACCGTACAAAGGAACGCCATGGTAATGGACAGCCAGTGCTGTGTACCAGTGTTGTTACTGTAGACACAGACTGCATTATCTTCCACTAGATGCCAGACCATGGAAAGTAAGTTTGGAGTGAGACGTCAGTTCCTCCTTTAGTCTAAGTACAGATGTTCTGAAGTTCAAACCTCTTGTTTTCTTCAGTTTGGAACTGCTGGAAGTACACAGTGACTATTCCTTAAGTCATTTTTTGAAATGTAGGAACTACATCCAAAATCCTACATGAAATCAAAGGCATTTGGCTGCAAAGAAAGGGATTTAGAAGTCAGAAGATGTGAGAATTAAACTGAGTCTGTTTCTCTGCAATTCATTAGCTCTGTGTTCCCATCCTGGTTTTCCTCTTCCCCCTTCTGCAAAGGGACGGGTTAGCACTGGAGGGAGGACCCAGGGTGGCAAAACGAACACAGCTGCTTTCTAACACATTGCAGATGCTGGAAAGTGTCCTGAAAGTAAGATGGGATGATAACCAATGGATCCCTCTTGACAGGTAAAGATCACTCAGAAGGGAGTGCCCACTGGAGCAGTATAGCCAGGGGACACGCAGCATGGGTAGGAAGTCAGAAGTTGGCATATTTATATATACTGCCCAGTGAATGACAGTCCCAGGCAATCCATTTTTAATTCCTGTCTCCATTTCCCTCATTCCCAGAAATTTT